ACATGGAAAGGCGAGAGTTGGGAGTTAAGATTTTCAAGCTAGAGGAACAGCACGGTGACTTCGTCAGCCAGCAAGCTAACATATCAAAATTCTTGCATCGTCGGTTGTGTGCCACAGTAAAAAAAGGGAAAGACATTTCACATTGGCCCTAAAATGAGTTTCGGCGTCTCACATTAGCACTTCCCTCCTTTTAGTCCCAAGGCAGCGTCATGTTTACTTCTAGTTAAGATGAATAAGACACAATAACCAATCTAGTCAAGTAATCATAGGACTTTAAATCTATGAACACGGGGTTGCTTAAGATGGTAGGATAAAGCGATGATATAACTACCTGTATTTTAAAATAGAGTGTCTGTATCCTAATACCTGAGCGGTGTATATGTACTTAACTTATCAACTACCTTCTTGCTTCTTTAGCTTCTGATACTACCTTCGTAGTAGGTCTGGTAATGATATCCGTTGCTTGCTTGGCGGCCATGGGGACTGGACTGGTAGTCTTTAAGAAGTTACGAGACAAGCGGTCTGCTGCTGAGTTTTTCAGCGGTCATGAGAAGGAAAAGCCTGAACATTGATGATACAGACTGGACTGGCCCTGGAGGACACTTGAGTTTGAGAAACACATAAACTTTCATTTAGATGCGTAGTTGCTTCTCTTAAACCGCTCTTTGGGGACTCAGTATTTTACACGAGGACTAGCATTTCAACAACTTCTGTTAATAATATCTTTCTTTTTTTTTTTGGTTTAACCAATGATTGGTTGTGTAGGAGTTCCAGCACTTTTCGATTAAACATAAGCTGTAAGCCCCTATTCCCAGAAAAATAATCAACTCAGCAACTCAGAAACGGGAATGCGGGTGAGAACTCAACTTCGATAAATAAAGACTCCTTCAAGCGTAGGAAAGCGCGAGTGATCTGATCACAAGTGTTTCCAGTTTTTCATTTGATTGGCTTACTGGAGAGCACAAATTTTCAAGACCAAGGTGCGTGAAGTCGAAAAGTGCTGACTGAGTAGTTGTTTGTGAAAATTTTCTAATCAGCGACGAGTATGATAACACTGATGACATCAAAGTGTACCGTTATAGTTTGCCTGAAGTTAGATTTTAATAATTTAATATTTTTAATAATAATAGTTTAATATTTATATTGCGCAAATTAACATGTCCATATGATCAAATGCGCATCACAACACTGTTCGGGGGACTTTGGCCAGACTGCATCAGCAGTTTACAAACAATCGAAGGAGACTTATTTGAAGATGCCCCCTCCCCCCAATTCCCAGTAAACAGGCCAGACCACATCACACTAATCTCGTGAGTGGGTTCTTTAACGTCCC